ACAGTGAAATGTGTGTCAACTGTTCAAAGTTCAATGCAGATGGCTGTCTGCCGTGTAGACACAATGTTGCCACAGAAAAATCCAATGTGGCAACAGATAACACTGAACATTTCAATTATATAAGGGCAAAGTGTCGGTGTCTGTGGCTTAGGCACTGCGAACACATATCACCGGGTGCCTGGTTCAACCCCAGCTGCGGACGATTTGTCATGCATTGGTTTTAACAGTAGTACCAAGATCTGACCGTTCAGAAAGCAATGGCAAACTACTGAACAAACAACAGCCCATAAAAATTTTGTGGTTGGTTCTGCAAAGACAAAGTAACTGGTAAACTAGAAGGTCTAAAAGAGTGTCTAGGATCTGCCCTCCAGAGTGAGGCTTTTGAAGTCGCAGGGGTGGTCAAATGTGTCGGTAGCAGTGCAGGGGAGAAAAAGAGAGAGAGAATTCTTGGTTATTTCATATACATAAGTGAGCAGTGTACAACAGTGGTTCTGGTGAAGTTACTACGCTGGTTATTTAATCACAAAATGATGTCAAAGTGTAGAGGCAGTATGGCTAATGGTAAATTATGTGTAAGAAAGAGTAATTTCAGTGGAAAATAAACAATAACAGAACTATACTTATCATCAAATGCCTTAACGACTGTCAAGGGCAATTATGCTTCTACACATCTTGTGTGTTACAATACTCAATACATGTGAGCTACTGACATACTGCTTTGCTGATTGGAAAAGCTTAACATGGCAAATTTAAAAATAACACTATCTATTAAAAATAACTTCCACACTCTACTGTATTTGTTGAATATACTGGCTTATTACTTGTTAAAAGAACTAATTTCAATAAAATAAAGCAAAATAACTTCTGAATAGCACTGGCTAAAATAACTACCTGCAGTTCAGAAATGATGTAATTAATATATACAAGAAACTTAATAATAAAAGTTGTTAAAATAATGTAATTGTTTGAAGCATTAAACAAGATACAGATCAACAAGCATTAATGAAAGCAAATCAATCACCTACTTATTCTGTTTTCTAATCCATACGGAATTGTTTTACTCTTTTGTCATAATTTTGGGCGGAGGAGTGTATTGAGGAGATGCTAGCCTCATCGTAGCAAGAGAAAATGGAACTTGAACATTTAATTATATGGCAGGGCAGACCAGGCTCTCAGCCTTGGTTGACAGCTGGTTTACAAGGAAAGCTCTGACAGCTGGACAAACATAGCACCACTCTTCTGATCCGGCACCTTCTGCTGTTTGCTCTGTTCCAAATGTACTGGTGTTACTTTTCCTTTGGAGTAAACAAGGTAGGTCGAGAGAAAGATCATGTTGCATGGACAGCACATGCTATCTATAATATTGTCCACACTTTGTACAATGGAAAGGACTAATTTCATCCCTGGCCTTGACTGGTCCTTTGGGTTGTGATTCCTGCACTTTTTTTATAGCACAGTATAACAATATCAATTGGAAAGGTGCCAACAAATGTTTAATTCTTCACTATTATCATTTCCAGCCCACAGTATCATGGATGAAAAGGTTTAAAGTTGACTGTATTGGCTCTAATACACAGGGCTTTTAAATCCCATTTGGCTTGGTCCCTCTCATGAACTCTCTAGCTCCATTAACAATCCCCAATAATTTCCATAAAAATGTGACTCACAGACCGAATGATGCAGTCCATGAAACAAACCCATGAGTTTCAGAAACAGCTTGACCACTTTACCTGAGTATGTCTTCTTTTCACTCTCCCTGTCTGGTTTTAGATAAGGACACAGGCATCTACGAAGACTGTAGTGTGACCATGTCTTCCACTTTCCTATAGAGCTTGGTTTCCATTAGAATGCAACCAGCTAAACCTGGGATCTCTTTACTGCAAGCATGTCTGAAGCATATGTCCAGTATTCTATGGTCTATCTCCATATGGACAACATTCTGAATCTTGAATTTGTACGCCTGGCTGCAGATTCTGGTGTGTCCAGTACGCAGTCTAAATATAACGGTCTGTTTCTTTCTTGTGAGGAGGAGGTTCAGGATTATGACCTGGACAGGCACAGGAAGTGTTCCAACAGGTTCTAATGGCAGCCTTATTTTCTCAAAGGTGCACCCAGTATCTGGTTGGTCTGTATGAGTACCTCTAATCAGACATTCTGCAGCTGTATCAGTTATCAATATTTGATTAACTCTTCATGGACCTTTGAAATAATACATTCTATGTTGCAAGAATGCTAATTCTGACCCTGGAGCCATCATGGTGGTGTGGCTATATGCTCGCCGGTGGATCCGAATGTTGGGCATACATGTCTTGATAGAGCCGGACTTTTTTCAAAAATGACCTTGGCTCCCAAGTCGACCCAGCCTTAAATGAGTACCAGGTAAAATTCTGGGAAGTAAAGATGGTCGGGGTGTTATTGGCCACATCCCCCATCGAGTGCCGACTGGTTTATAAAAGATAGGTTTAGCCCTATATGCCCAATCCGCTTGAAAGCATTCACAAGGGGCTTTTACTATTTTGTTGTTACTTCGGGCCAACATAAAATCACAGACATTTGTTTAATATGGTTAATTTAACTCTTTCAGTAACATGCAACTCACCATAAGTTCACTCACATTAGTCCAAAACTGTAGCTCTTTTATGTTTAAGTACAAAAATTAATTAAAAAAAACAGTTTTTCTTTGTGACTCTCTTCTATAGTAGACAGTTGTTATATTAACTTGTTGAAACCCAAAGAATGCACTGAGTGTGACTGGATTCACTTATTTGCACTAGTTAACAGATTATTATGCTCTGGCATTATTTGTTTGTTTGGTCATTCATTCACAGATGTGTTTCCCACAAGGGATGTGTATCTGGGACCTGTGAATGTAGTATATCCATTATTTTGTTGACTTAAAAATCCACTCACAGGGGCATCAACTGTAACCTTCTGGCATGGAGTTCATCGATCACCCTCAGCAAACATCAAACAAGTCCTTTTCAAATGTTATAAGAAAGAAATTTAATTTGATCACGCCTGGTACACTGCGTAGTTATTCAGTATTGCTTTTATTTCCTCCATTGTAAGGGGGAAGGGGGGAGGGGAGGATAAAAAAACTAACTGGCCCCCTCCAACAAATCAAGTAATTAAGAGCAAATCTGTAAAATGAATGCGCATGCTAAGCTCAAGTTCTGAAACAAGACAAAAGTCCAGAAGTAGAAGAACAAACATAACGTTTTGCTGGAGTTTACAGCTGGTGAACGTGAAGAAGAATACTGCTATTCTCTTTTTAAAGTATCTAAACATTACTGTATTTTTCTGTGTATAAACTTTGAAAATTTTGGGGAAACATTCTGTCTTACACATGGAAAAAGACATTACTTTAGACTGTTTCATTACACCGGCAGTACAGGCATCATCAGTCATTTCACACTTGTTGAGCTTCTGAGAAGATTGGAGCATCTGTGCATCTGTCCACAGTACTGTGATGACAATCCTCACAAATCACTGGCACTTTTGAACTCTGTTAGTACTACCAAGCAAGTATTATTTCAACTCATTTTATTCTAAGAAATTGTTACTTTAATTAGTGAATGCACAGGTCCTAAGAAGCTAAAATAATAACAGCATGAGTCAGAGAAAATTAAAGTAACATCTGAGCCATAGTGGGTTAATGTAATAAAAGGATGGTGTATTAGGAATCAAGAGTAGAACAATCAAGTCAGTACAAACAAAGACAGGCGAGGAGAGTATTTCGGTAGTGACTGAGTCCGCGAAAATATTATCTGAAATCATTATGTATCAATGCCTTTGCAGAACGTTGCTCTCATCACCGTCTGCCTGAAAGAAACTCAGTCTCTCGCCAGCTATCCCGCCTCGTGCACTTTCCTACCCAAGATGTCAGTTATATGCTATGCCTAACTTCGTGCTGGTTGACCCCTGCCCCTCTTTCCTGGTACCATGCCTTCTGCTATTATTTTTTATTCCAATCCACTGTGTCTCTTGATATGGTCAAAATCTTTCTGGATAAATATTCAACACATTTTCAATCTTCTTCTCCTCCTTCTCCTGTACCTGCAGTTACCTCAGTGAAATAACGGGAGGAGATTAAAGGATCTTCTGTGTATAATTTCCAATATGGTGGGAAAGGTGATCTTTAATTCTCTAAGATTGTTTCTGATGCCATTTTTTCCATTTTTGCGTGATCTTGTCCTTGCTTTGTGCATAATGCAATGTTTTTAACATGGCTCTCCTTGGCAGTTGGGGATAACACATTCTTGTTTGATGACCAAACTATTCTATTTGTTGCTCTTTAATAAACTGCACGACTGATTTCAGACCTAGTCTTTTCATGTTCCTATTTCCAACTTTATCTCTCCTATCTCTAGAGCTCTTCTAAGATATCTGAACTCATTCTTTAGATTCTCTCTAGGGAATTTAATTCAGAATTCAAATTTAAAATAAAAAGTAAAGTATATAACCCTTTTCCATATGCCCTTTAGGCCTTATGAGCATAAAGAGCTAGACCTATATTTTATAGACCAATCGGCCCTCAGAAGTAATGTGGTCAACACAACATCATGCTAGCTGCCTTAACTTTTAAGGACTATACCTGGATGTAATTAAAGCTGGGTCGACTTGTGAACCAAGGTCATTTTTTTAAAAGTCCGGCACCATTCAGATTTGAACCCATGACCTTTAGATGCGGAAGGTGAGTGGCTAGCCACTACACCAAGGCGGCTTAACTTAATCCAAAATTATCTAAAAGTATAACCTTTTTTTTCTGTACAACTTCCATTAATATTCAATATTATCACGAATTCTCTTGGTCGTGTAGAAATACTAGTTTCATGTATTAAAAATAATGCATGTATTACATGTATGTAACAGAATGCATGAATACATTCAAATACACATCTATTGATATAATAATTCCAGGTACACAGACTAAAAAAAGACACAAAGACAACACATTTCACATAATAAAAACTATAGAAGATACACAGTGCCCATTTTTTTCACAAAGCAAATAGTGGATTTTCATCTTGGTCTGTCTTCTGTATAGTCCGTGAGTTTCTTGCAGGTTGTTGTCCTGTTTGTGCTGATATAGTTGGTAAGTCATCAGATGCATTTGCCCTCTCAGACAAAAATTTGTCAAATTCTGAAATTGTAAGCAAATTTATTAACAGAAAGAACCGCCTGAAAGTAGTGAGACAATACAAGAACTGACAACTAAAAAGAAATTTGTGAATACATTAAGCAAAGTTTTAGAAAGGACTGTGTAGTGTCATCCTATTTTCTATCCTTATTCACGTCCGCCCTTAAAAGGGCAGTTGACATGTTGTGGTCAACAGCTGGGCTGCGCTATCTGTGTCTTTTGGCCCATCTTTTCAGCAAACCCTTAGTTAGTTAGTCACCTCTTATGACATGCTTGTTAAGGTTCTCTCCCCCCCCCCCACCCCCACCCCAGCACCATACAAAATCAGGCCCCAAGAAACTAAAAGATAAATTTGTGCAATCTGTACTGCAAAATCAAAGTTTTATTTGTACAAGATATGTCAAATAAATATCATTACTGGGCATAATGTAAATAACATGGAATGTGCTGACTGCTTCGACTCTGAAGGAGATAAAACCCACTAATTTGTAGGTCTATCAACTTGTTCCAAAACCAAATCAGTTCCAGAATTTAATTATCTGTTCTCACATAATGCTAATGTATGCATTTACATGCAATGAAAATAATTCTTAACTTTAAAAAAACATTGCAAATTTACAACAACAACAACAAACATTGCAAATTTACAACAACAACAAAAAACACGTTGCAAATTTACAATAACTTTTATCAGAATGATTTTTTTCTCTCTGTCATCTCATCTTGTTCTGCTCGTACTTGATAGTTTTGAAGCAAAGTATAAGCAGAAGGTGAGGGAGGGGGACAAGGGAGGGGGAGGTACTCTTCTGTGTGTTTTGTAAATTGGGACTTGTCTACACTGTTATTACCATTTGTCCATCATTTACATGATCGAACTCATGATGCTGCATAAATATAAGTGATCTGAGTTCATAAGATAACTTACCCATTCTAGTAACAGGTCCCTGTGGGTTACCCCCTGCAACCTGTCAAACAAAGAACAGTCTATTATAACAGTGTAAAATTAATTTAACAAAAATCGGCAGGGAAAAGGAGGGGGAAATATTTAAATTTAAAGATAAATTATATAAAGGTATGCTGTAACACTAATCTCTATAGGGCTGAGAATCCTGAAACTATGAATGAGGTGATCTACCAAAGAGAGAAGGTTGTTTTCGCACTCTTTCACACATTTTGTTTCATTAACAGCTCCTCCTGTCCATATTGTTTCCTATTTCATATTTCTGCTTCCATGCTGAAGTTGTCGTTTGTTTTTAACTCTGTTGTTTTGTCCACTAATAAAGACTAGTAGAAATGTTCTGCTGTTTTGAGTGCATCCTTTTCTGTCTCTCCATTGAGATTTCAAGTCATAGTTTGTGCTGTGTATAGTTACTTCTTGATATCAGACTGCCGTCACCCATGTGTTCATCATTACATGTGTAGATCTGTTCATGAACGATGAAGTTAATCAAGTAATTACAGTTTCAACTTCAAGCAAACAGGTTACCCCACAATGCTCTTTTCCTGTGCCAATCAAAACCATACAGAATGTCTGTCACTGTCAATAGTTTCAACAACAACAAAAAATGTGCAGACTGCTGTGTTGCTTCATTTTTTAATTGTGTTTCTTCTTGTTAAACTGGCAGCTTTCCTAAGACATATAATTTCTGTTGTCATGACTTTGCTCTCAATAGTTGTAGCAAGGATTTGTGTTTTACACCAAAAACATCATGTTCTACACCACCATATTTACACCTGGTATCATAACTGTAAAAAGTGTGACTTGATAATAAACACTATGAAAACCTAGGTAATGAGAGTTGGTGAGAATCATAAAATAAACGTTTACACTAATCGTCATACAATCAAACAAGCACAGCAATTCAAATACCTAAGAAATATATTTACAGGAGAAAGCACGCTCAACTGAGTGACAGAAGCTAGATCCCAAAAGGCAAATTCTGCTCAGACACACAAATATTTACCTTACAGCAAAACAACAAATGATTAATAGCATCTTCATCCTCATTCTGTGTTATCAGTGCCAAACATGGTCAATGAGTACAGTGCAGGAACAGAAAATAACTGAATTGCGCTCTCTCCCCATGTTTACCAACAACACTAGAAGGGACAGGGTTATGAATGCCAGCATTGAGAGAAGGCTGCAACAAGACCATGACTGAATTACATCACAAAATAGAGAACAAGTTGTTTGGCCACCAAGTAAGAAAGCAGCCAGACTAAACTGTAAATGAGACCTTTTACAGCAGAACATCTGGGCAGAAGGTAAAAGGGGTTCTGCTAAAAAACTGAATATCATTCAAGCCACTCAAGAAGAGCATGACTAACACAGGAAACCTAACACTGGGCTACATCCTGGTAACAGCGTGATGAAAAAAAAAGAAGAAGCAAAGGTCAATTAAACAAACATGAGATTTAATTCTTAAAATACAGCACAAAGAGATGTGTTTTTTAAATAAAAAAGCAGTGGCAGAAACTAATGTTGTGGATGACAAATAACAACAAATGAAACCTGTCATAGCATTTTCTTTTTACCTTGTAGTTAATGACTTGACCCACTTACCCCCTGGCCATGGGTTGCAAGCCACTGCTCCATCTCATCATAATCGGTTTCTTTGTCCTGCAACTGAACACAAATCAAACACACTAAAAACTGAAGACTTAAAAACTGTTCTTAATAATACACTTAATTTCTGTTATGATTTCCTGCTCATTATATGTCCGAGGAGTCTATGTTGACATTCATTCAATGTCCTTAAGGGCCATTTTAGTCACACAGGGTTCCAAGTATATTTTACCATTATGTTCTATCCTACGCAACCACTTTGAAAAAAAAAAAGATGGAATCCAGTCCAGCACCTTTAGCCTCCCACATCAATGTTTTAGAGTTTCTCATGGATGTCCTTACCTCCTCAATACATCTATTTCCCATTTCAGTGCTTGTTTGGTGATTCTCTGTCTTATAACTGTCGAGATAGTGATTGCCCAGATATTTCCCTTCTTTTCACTCTTCTTGAATTTATCCCACCTTATGTTCAACATTTACTTCATGCATTTGTTTTCAAACACATTTAACTTTCGTTCCATGACTTTAATGATTCTCCAACTTTCACTCGCATATATTAAAACTAAAATAACATTTGAACTGAAAATATGTCACTTGGTTCTTAACTCTTTCAGTCCCAAGGAACACATCATACATTCATAGGTTCCTCCCTAGAAGCCCAATAAACATGTGATGCGCCGATTTTATTACTTTCTTTACTACCCCCTGGGCCTGTGATGCTAAACCCCCGGAACTCAAAGAGTTAAGCTTGACAATCTAAACTTCCATTTTCTTTTCAAGCTTTTAAAAGCTCTTGATGCTTGAAAATGTATGTCATAATTTTTGTATTTGTGTTTCCTTGTCCTTCAATTATACTAAGTAAATAAGCAAATAATAAAGTTGTCCCCATGTGGGATGCAGTTTTGTATTTGAAGCCCCACCCTAGCTTCTTCCGGGGGCCCTGAATATAGATGGGCCATAGACATGGCCTAACGGCTCAAAGGGGTTTCTGGGAACTCTCCACGGCTAATCCTTTTTTGCATGGAAGCACTTTGTGTCACCTGGTGTTTATCGCTTGTAGGATGTCCTGGTGGGGTACAACTACCTACCTACCCAATAAGTAAATAGGTCTGTTACTTTAATTCTTGTTTGTCTCTAGTTTTAGATCTGCTTGATCTCTTATTGGTGTCTTCAAAACACTTGTCTTTTTATAACTTATTTGTGGTCCAACTTGTGATGCTATTTTTGTTTAATCATTTGTCTTTCTTTGCATGTCATTGCTGTTCTTTAATTAAACATTGTTTTCTAACAAGATATAAAAATCTGCTCTCCATGGTGACTTTAAACATTGTTTTCTAACAAGTCATAAAAATCTGCTCTCCATGGTGACTTTAAACATTGTTTTCTAACAAGTCATAAAAATCTGCTCTCCATGGTGACTTTAAACATTGTTTTCTAACAAGACATAAAAATCTGCTCTCCATGGTGACTTTAAACATTGTTTTCTAACAAGACATAAAAATCTGCTCTCCATGGTGACTTTAAACATTGTTATCTAACAAGACATAAAAGTCTGCTCTCCATGGTGACTTTAAACATTGTTTTCTAACAAGACATAAAAGTCTGCTCTCCATGGTGACTTTAAACATTGTTTTCTAACAAGACATAAAAATCTGCTCTCCATGGTGACTTTAAACATTGTTTTCTAACAAGACATAAAAATCTGCTCTCCATGGTGACTTTAAACATTGTTTTCTAACAAGACATAAAAGTTTGATCTCCACAGTGACTTTAAACATTGTTTTCTAACAAGATATACAAATTTGCTCTCTGGTGAGACCTTAAACATTTCCCATAAGTTACAAAGTAAAAAAAAAAAGTAAATAAAAAGTGTTCTAATTAAAAGAGTTACATTTGAAGAGGTTTTAATATTGACAATAACACAAGTTACACTATAATTATTAATGCTACTGAATGAAAACAATCCAAATTTGAAACTAGCGGGCCACACAGGACAACACTGAAAGCAAAGAACAGAGAGTGGCAATAACAAAAACACGTCAATATCTGTTTGTCAGCTTTTACCTCAAGAGTTTTCTCATCAGAAATGTGCTGAGAAAAAAAAAGAAAAAAAAAAAAGAAATTAATAATAATAATAATAATTAAGTTTAAAAAAAAAGACAAAGATAAAATAAAAATAAATGGCACTCATTAACAATCAGTCGAATAATGAAAATTCATTCACTATACATAAACAGACCCCAAAGTTTATCTATCATCAACATCATATGCTGTGCAGATAAACACAGGCTGTCATGTTTTGCATTTCACATGATCAACAGAATCAAGAATCAGGCTAAGCCATCCAGGTATTTGTCTCTTTGCCTTCCCTTGCTCTCTTTTCATCAATCCTGTCGGTTGCTACCAAGTGTCACGTCCCTTCTTTCTCATAAACTGAAAACATACTAAAGTAAAGTACCTCTTGGCATATTGGGCAAAAAGGGCTAGACCTATATTTTATAGACCAATTGGCACTTGGTGGGTGATGTGGTCAACATCAAACCGGCCGCCTTTAATTCCAGTGAATTTATCTGGTACCCATTTAAGGCTGAGTTGACCTGAGAGCCAAAGCTTTTTTTTTTTAAAGTCCAGCTCCATTTGGATTTGAACCCACAACCTTCGAAACAATAATTGAAGATGTCCAATTTCTCTAGTCAGTTTTCATCTGTTTTAAAAATTATAGTAGTTTATTTTCCAACATATCATCCCTTTATATTCTTTGTATTGTTCTCAAAAAAGCAGATCTCCACTGCAAGTGAATGTTTTCAGCTTGTCTGCTCACTGTGCATGCCCCACATGCCTATAATAAACCTGGCACTTTAATAATAGTTCTCAATGCATCTGACCTCTTTTTACTTGTCAGTATCTTTTTCACCTGCTCAGGGCCACTTTTGTTTATTCTTGTTCTAATCTCTGCAAGACATCTTGTGTCAGATGTTATGAAGGTTTCAAGACTGTTGTATCAATTCACTTGCTAAAGAATTTTGCCATCATCATGTTTTCCACATATCTAATTATAGACAGACAATATTTATCCAACCAGATATCAACATAAAGGTACATTATTTAAAATTTTTAATTCTAACTTCAAATCAGTACTTTTGTATTGGGCGGAAACATGGAGAACAACCACGGCAAGTGCTAATAAATTACATTCATTAACTGGTGCCTGCTCAGAATAGAGGGAATTAAATGGTATGATAGAATCACTAATGTAGAGCTTTGGGAAAGAACTAAGCAAGCTCCAGTGGACCAAGAGGTGAAGAAAAGACGCTGGTGTTGGATAGGACACATAATGAGAAAACCAGAGAACAATAAAACTAGAATGTCTTTGCATTGGAACCCACAGAGGCATAGGAATAAAGGAAGGCCAAAAAAACACATAGAGAAGGGAGCTGGAGAATGAAGTAAGAAAGATGGGGAGGACATGGGAAGAGCTGCATAAGATAGCAAAGGATAGAACGACTTGACGTGAGGGCCTATGCGCCTTGGGGGCTAGAAAGGCAGAAGAAGACGAAGATTTAAGAGCCCTATACTACAACGTTAGTGAGCTGCCAGGGTGTAGCAGCTAGATCCTCACCTCAGGACTGGAGGTTTATCTATGTTTAATTCCACATCGAGCTGAATTTCCTCAAAAATAACCTTTGCTCCCAGGTCGAGCCAGCCTAAAATGGTACCAGGTAAAGCCCTGGGAAGTAAAGGTAGCTAGCATACATCAACCACTGAGTGCCGATTGGTCTATCAAATATAAGTCTAGCACTATGTGTCCGAAACTGCTGTAAGGCATGGAAAGGGTTCCTTTACTTACTGATAACAACAGATACAGACAAGAAGACATACCCAGCCAGACACAAATATTTTTAGAAAAGATATATACATCTGCCCATTAAGACATCAAATATCTATTACAAACCACCCTTTAGGGCCTAGTTTGGGGCTCACTGAAAATTAAATATCTAAAACATACACAGAAAACATTATGTCTACACCTGGCCAGGACATATGTGCGCTACACTGAATCATAACCTTTTACATCCCAATATGTCTTATTTGTGAACTTCAATTTATCAGTCTTGTGGTGGTTCTTCTTCTTTCATTCACATGAAATAATTATCTACACATGCAATATTGTCTCTAGTATGAACTTCACTGCCTTTTTTTTTAATGCATTCAGCGACCCATAAGGTACTTCCACTGGTGTTTTTCTTGGCTAGAAGTTTTGCCCTGATATGTTCTTATGGTTCTGGACTTGAAGATGGAAAGGAGAGCTCTACATCACAGTCCCTGCCAAGCTTGCGCCTCTATAAATGATGGGGAGACTAATAACCTATTGGTGAATCTAAAGTAGAATGGTACTAACCATGGACAAATAATCAGGTTTGGTCAAAAACTAACTTACCGTTTCTGCCAGGCCATTAGTATGTGTATTCGTCGGAGGTGAGGTGAAATTCGCTCCACTACATAACAAGAAGTACAAGAACACACAAAAATATTATCTCTTATTCACGTAACTGAAATCATAGAAAATAATAATAGTAGCAGGAAGTCAGCAAATAGTAGCAGCAAGGAGAGGCAGAGGGAGACTGAGAGAAAGATGCTGGACAGTTTGATATCATGGCATGTGTCAGAGTTGATTGAAAGTATATGAGACAGAAGGCTGGGGTTAGACATGACTGTCAACGCCACATGGCATGGACTTTGACAAGAAGAAGAAGCAGCGAGTCTGGACATTGGCTCATAACATCATATAGCGGGGGCCGCGTTAGCGCAATCGATAAGAAGCTTGCTTTCAAATCCAGCTGCGACTCGCTGCAGCTCACGGTCGGTGTTCGAAACCGGGCGGCTCCTGGGGTTCACCCAGCCTCTAGGAAATGGGTACCAGAGTGATACTCTGGGGTAAATGAAGGAACCTCGCTGTAGCTACAGAGTTACGTGCGAACGGCGACACAGGTGGACAATTCTTATCAGCTGTCCGTACTGGTGGCAGAGCACTTATGGTTTATAACCGTGAGCAATGACGCTGGTTCACATCTCCCAACTTTACCTTTACCTAATCATAAAGTTGCAAATGTCTAAAGAGGGTAATGAACATTTATTTTGTGGCTTCAATATGAAAAGACAAATTTAAAAACATAAAAATATTTTTTATTAAATTAGCTTTTTTTTTTTTTTCAAAGTATTAAAATAAAAAATAAAAATTCTCTTGTATTTTCCTGGAAGCTGAAGATTAAAATAATTCTCTTTACAAAATTCCCCAAACAGAATATTAACATTTTTCTGATTAAATTTGACGATCGTTGAATTTCCGGTCGTATCTCTTGGTGAACAGATTCAATGATCATTGAATTAGTAACATGCAGAATGCAGACAGACAGACAGCCTTACTGACAGTTTTCGAATTAGGCTACATCCGGATAATTTTAATTATTCCAAGATGGCTGCGCCTATGGTTGGTATCACTCTGAGCCGATACAAGCGTTGTTTTTAGTGAAATTTTGTTAATTTTTTTACAAGGGCACATTCAGCAATTTTATAATTTCTGATGATGAAAATCAGACTCAGTATAGATGATTCTGACTGCCAGCCACATTATTGCTGAAAGCAATAATTCCTAGCTAAGTTGAGATACACCAGTGAATGATATCGCAACTGAAAGTAGCGACCACAATGACAGACTTAATGACTGAGGTGATTACTGTACATCTGACGAACAAAGTGGGCATGGCACAAGAGATCAGAACATTTATATAACTGAAAACGCTGTATGAAATGGAGAAAAGGTTGCTCAAAATGAACTTTTAGCCTGACAATCGCCCTCCGTAGAAAGATAAGCAAGATGCCATGTCTGACACAACTGGATGCATGCAGCTGAAACTGAAAAGACCTGTTCATCCTGTGTTTTATGTGACAGAAGATAAAGACATGTTGACCATCACCTGGCCTGAAGCTTAAGAGAGTAGCAGGAAGTACTGTTTACTTCAATGATATTACGGACAAGACAGTGAGGAAAAGTGGAATTCCTGAGGGCAGAATAATAAACAAGCCAGGTCTTGCAGAAAAATACAACAAAAGTGTGGGGGCGTCAATCACTTTGGCCAGCTACTCCTACCCACATCGTCCTTTTTTTTTTTTTTAAAGTATTCAGAAACCATGAGTTGTTAACCCTTTGGCTCGGTACTATGGATATCACAACTCTACAGCCTTGATTCCATGATAGCTACCGTAAATCTGGGAAAATGTGGCTTTTCTGCCTACCCCCGGGTGTAAACCCGGACCACAAGGAGTTCGTCACCCGGTCGTCGCAAAGTTAGCTTTAACCAACTACGCTAACAAGTCAGGCACATAATCTTATAAATGATTCCTGCTATTATATTTTATTTTATTTTAGTTGGTCAATGGACAAATAAGCTAAAAACTGCCAACTCTACAAATAAGATCACAGCAAAGAGGTTCAGGCAGGATGTCAATCTGGCTCTTATCAGATCTGCAGTTCTTCGGCACAATGTAACACCTTCAAGAGCACCCAAAAGCCACAATATCACGACTTACTGAGTACAATTATATTTGTTAATATGAAAAGCCAAGGTACAAAATCACAGTAAAGTGTGTAAGGCTGCAGGTAAAAGAAGCTAGTCTTGCATGTACTAGCCAGATTGCAATACACCCCTATGCTTGACACCCTGTTTCTAGCTACACCACACACTGATGATTATCAATGTTCCCGACAAAGACTTTTGTTGAGGCCTACAGCTGTAGCTTCAACTCCAGTAGATGAAGAAAGTAGCTCAGACTTCAGCTAGTGGTCCTTTTGATAATTAAGCATTCAAAAATCCTCATAACAAGCAAAATAAATGCAATAAACAAAAATGTCTTTCTCACTGTATAATTTTTTTTTTTTTTTTTTAGCTTTTAATGTTGAAATAATTAGTCGCTGAATAACTGCTCCTACTGAGCTTATTTTATTCAACGCCAATCATGTCCCTAACATTTTACTGTACTGACACAGACATTGAACAAATTCACTAAAAACTGGAAAAAGATGAAGGTTTTAAAACATTTCCTGAAATCTCTATTAATAGCCAAACAAATTCAAGATGACGGCTAAGATCATGTGAAATATTTGCATATCTTTTTCATGTGTCGGAACCATTCTCAATGGTGCGGTAAAAGGTTTCAAAACCCTACGCTCATTTTTAATTTCTCAATGAATTCGATTAGAAAACCAGTAATTATTTAAAAAATCTCCAAACACCTTTGGTTTTTGCAGACAGTAATACAAGAGACTGCTGTTCAGTAAAGTGATGATGCACCTCACTGCATTGTCAACCATACAGTGTGTGTAAAATTTAATCTTAGTTTACCAGAAAAAAGTTGTTGTTTTTTTTCAACTTCTGTTATGACAACCATCATTAGCGAACTGAATGAATAAAAAAACTGCATTTTGAAATGTTTTAGAATGGGGGAAAACAATTTCTCATTTATTTATTGGAAAATAAAAATTTAATAATTCTCTTATAGAATTTCCCAGATAGAATTTTAATGCACCACATTGCATTGTTATCCACAAGACAGTGTGTGGTGTGCAAAATGTGATTCTGACAGCTTATCAGGAAATGGTTTTTAAAAATTTTGACATGACAAAAAATATGACTGAGTTGAATAAATGCTCATAAAAAATTGAGTATTTTGAAACAACTTAAGATAAATGAAAAAAGTGATAGACGATGACAGCAGAATATTACTATTTAACGTCTTCTGCACCAGTCAACACCTCAAAATATTTATTAATAAACATGTATTTCCAAAAGGCTGAAAAAAGTTTGGCTTGTAACTGTCCCACTGACCAGTGTAAAATTACCAACTGGCAACTTTGAATGGTTATTCTAGTTCTTTGGTGTTCAAATAACAGAAATAGTATTTATTTGTATGATCATGAGTTTTTAAAACTTACAAACTATATTTGTGCGCGGTTCTTCTTCTTCTAATTCTTCTTCATGTTCGCCAACTGTAAACTCTGAAAAAAAGTACAAGTTGTCCATCCATTCCTGGACTCTGATTTTGTTTTAGGAGATTTGCTTGCATATCCAATTCCAATTCCAGTTGTCCAACAAAAATTCCAAATTTGATCCTTTTTGAGCTGCCCGGAGGCCTGCTATATGAAGGAAGGTTCCTTGGCCATTTTATTTGGTTTCCTTTTATTTGTGGTGTGTAGTCACACCTGATATTCCGGTTCTTTGCTTCCCTTGCATATCCATTTAACAGATCCACTTATATGCAGACTGTTGGTTCCTCACCTTTCAGGTAGATGCACTACAACTTCAAAGGAAATGTCTATCCTATCTATGCTGGCCAAGACCCTGGGGGACCCATTTAGATGACCAGAGAGAGTTGTAGATAGATCCTGACCAGTCTCATCCCTGGTCCTTGTGGACTACTATTAACTAGAAAAGATAAAATTATGAATGAGGTCATAAGAGAACAAGGCACATTACACATTCTAAATTTCATTTAAAAGACAGCGAATTAAATGGTTTGCTCATTTAGAATGCCTTGTGATACCATACCATATAAGGCATACACAAAAAGAGATTGACAACAAACAGCACGAGGGAAACCAAGAGCAAGATGGAAAGACAACATGAGACAAACTCTACAACAGAATGTGTTTATGGTCAAGGTGGCCAGAAAGGCAAGAAGCAGAACTTTATATCTCCCTCGACACTTTAAGCGGGAAAAAGAGGATGTGAAGAAGAGGACTTCTTCACATCCACTGCAATTAAATAATTCATGGAACCTAATGAGAACATGTTAAAAATACAGGTGAGCACATCCACTCACGCCACATGCGGTGTGATCTGATCCCCGATCTGTCTGGACTGAGCAAGAGCATCAAACTCATCAGAAAATGGACGATTCTGTGCTGCTGGGTTGACTGGCGGACTGTTTCCTACAGCTGAAAAAACACAAACACAGAAATAATTAAATAAAAGGTTAAAGTTAAAGGTTAAAGTTAAGAGTGACTTCACTGCACCAGGTTTTATCCCATATGGCTTGGTCTCTCTGTGCAGAATGAGTAGCCACCTGCCCAGAGCAACAGGCACAGCACGAACTCCATAGCTCCTGTGACAATCCCCAGGGATCTCCGTAAAAATAGCACTCATGAACTGAAAGGAGGGAGGCAACCGGCTTGACCACTTTGTCAAGGAGACTCCCAAATAATTAAGCTTGTGGTGTCTAAAAAAAATATTGTTTTCAAACACAAATAAAGAAATTAATAGAGAACAAGCACTAAATGCTGTTTCACAGAGGTACGATCTTAACACGTGAAGGGATGGAGAAGTGAAACAACAGTGATGATGAAGATGATGACAATGATGGATGATGATGATGATGATGATCATTAACACATGAAGGGATGGAGAAGTGAAACAACAGTGATGATGAAGATGATAACAATGATGGTTGATGATGATGATGATGATCGTTATTATTTATGACAATGATGATGACAAATGTTATTTATGATACTGATGAGTCATTCCTTCATTCATTATATATCACACAGGACTCGCAGTCTATTTCTCCAGGAGGTTCTATCCTGCACAATCACTTTGACTTCATGGATGGAATCCAGTCCAGCCCCTTTGGCTTCTCTCATTAACATTCCCTTAAGTGTTTCTCTTGGATGTCCTAATGTCCCCCTATTTCCTATTTCAGTGCCTGTTTGGTAATTCTCTGTTCTTCTCTTGTTAGAATATGTCCAACATAGCCCCATCTTCTCTGTCTTATAACTGTTCAAACTGGCAGCTGCCCAGACATTTCTCTTAATTCTTCACCTTTTGATATTTCTCTTCACAGTTGTGAAATTTCAACACTAATCTTACACACTTCAAAATTAGAATTTTGAGAGCATGCATCTTCCCTGTGGCTACATACAGCTACATATGGATGTGAGTCGTAGACTATCTCTCAGTCCTTAAGAAAGAGAATAGGGACTTTTGAGCTGAAATGCTATAGAAAGATTCTCAGAATATCTTGGACAAAGAAGATGAGAAATATTGACATCTTAAAAGATCTGAACATCAAGGAAGATTGGCTAATAAACAGCATCCTTTCTCGAAAGCTGAAAAATTATAGCAGAAGGCATAGTCCTAGGAAGGAGGGAGGGGGCCAACCAACACGAAGATGGGCACAGGATATAAGTGACTTTTTAGTGTGAAAGTTCATGAGGCGGGAGAACTGGCGAGAGACCGAGTTTCTTTCAGGCAGACTGTGATGACAGTGACGTTCTACAAAGGACCTGCTACATGATGATGATGATGAGTCTTACACACTAGTTTTTAAACATAGAAAGGGGCGAAAGTTCTGCAGCACAAGCTAAGACTTTTATTTTTGCCCCTAACAGAAATAATCTTCATCCCTAAATGAGGACTGATAACGTGTCTCCCATATAATAACCCAAAGCTCCAACACTCTGGCTAGCTGTTCCTTCATCAAGCAATCATCAACATAAAATAAAACTACATTTTACTCTAAAACTCATTATTTCATTAACTTATTTTATAGCAAGCAGTTCACTTTATGTTTCCAGGTTGCTATATTTTTCTTAACAAGAAATAAATCAATTAAACACTTTTACTAGGAAGCCTAACAAAGGAAAGGAAATAATGTACATTATATTAGAATGTTTTGATCAAAGTCTTTATCAATGAATAAAACAGCAGGAAAGCTTCACCACAACAATGAATGAGAAAGTTACGTAGGGAAATGGACAGAACAAAATTTGAAAAATAGGAACAAAAAGTTAAGAAAATAGTGGAGGATCCGCATACATGCAACACACATGCGCACAAGCATTGTTAAAAGCTAGATCAAGGAATGTTGAATACTGATCCCTGCTGGACAGAATGCCTTAACTGTCAAGTAATTTTTTTCAAGAACAGATGCTTTGATCATTGGAACAAGATTTTATGACAGTGAAGAAGGTGAGGTGTAAATTTTAACTCAGTGGTCAAGGCTATAAAGCAGGTAAAGCCACATTGTCCTGTGTGTAACAGAACAGTCACTGTGTTAATCATCAAGATAACGCTAAAGTACTTACTTAATCCTGCCATCTGTGTCGTCACACTCTGGGTTGGTGTGACGGGTTCATCACTAAGGTCAATCAAATTTCCTACAGCTGGTGTTGCGCCTGCAGGAAGCTGTGAATGTGTTTACAATTTTCTGTTAGTTCTTTGCTTCTCCCTTTTTGTTTTTACAGATTAATAATATCTTGTTCAGACTTTTGGGCTAAAAGCTGGGATTTACAGCATCTTTACCTAACCATGCTAAAGTGTTACACATGATCTGTGTTGTTATTTGCATGAGAGACATGGAAAATGAGCAAACCAGGTAAAAAAAAAAAAAAATTTTACTCGCAGTGGAGCTGTGGTTTGTGAGACAAATGCAAAAAATATCATGAAAGAAAAACAACTGAGACAGTCCTCCTCAAGACAGATGAAAGATGTTAACTGATAAGAAAGTAGACAGTTTTTTGCTGGACATGTTATGAAAAGCAAACCTCAAACCCACACAGGAATTAGCAACATTAGTTTAATAAAAAATGTAAGAAGCCACAATCGCTGATGCCTGTCCCAGATTTAACATTGAACAAAGAAGATGATCAATCCACTTTAAATATTATACAATATGTTTCTTTTGCTTTTTTAAATTAATAAAATTCAACTGCTTATAAAATCTAAAGCATTTTGTTTAACATCTCTTACCTTTGAACAGAAATGACAGAAACATTTGACTGCATGAAATCTGCAGCTTTCGGCCCAACATATTCAATTTCAGTAAATCCTCAATTCTACAACTTTTATGACATGCTTGATGAGAAGCAGTGAGTGGGTTTATAACCCACCCGCCCAGAAAAAAAAATTAGCGTTCTGGAACCCACGAGGTGGGTGTAGAGAACTGATTCGGTTTAAATGGTTTTGACTCTTTTATATGATATCTGAAACTGGACAATTAATACTTCTCTGTGTGTGTGTGTGTGTGTGTGTGTGTGTGTGTGTGTGTGTGTGTGTGTGTGTCTGCATGTGAGTGAGTGCGTGCATGCATGTGTGTGTGTATGAGTGTATGTGTTGTTGTTGTTGTTTTTTTAAAAACCTTTTTCAATGCCATCACTATTTCTTCCATTCCTTTACCCCTGTGATTTCTTTCTTTTCCTTTGCTATTAATGTTTGTTACTGATCTGGCATACAGGAAGTGAGCGGTTACAGGCTAATGAGGCAATTGCAGCCTAGGAGTTATAACAGGATTGAGAATTAATCAAGATATACCATAGCAACAACAAGAGGGCAGGTGTCTCAATGATCCTCTAGAAGGAAAGATGACAGACATAATGAATCAAACAAGCACCCATCATAAACCATACATTCTGTTAGTGTGACAGGTACCTGGCCAGGTGAAGGTGGCTGTTGGTCCTGGGGTGTAGTAGCCTGACCACTCTGACCCGTACGATACCTCTCAAAACGTTCATAGCGTAAGAATACGTTGTTTAGGTCATCATTGACACGCAGGAGGTCACCTGGAAAATATTATGAAATATACATTGTGTTATTTTGCTATCAAGTTGGTATAAATTTGTTTTTATTTCTGCTTTGTGAATAGTTAGGGAGTTGCCGTGGCAGAGCGGCTAGATGCTCGTCGCGGATCGGAAGGTCGTAGGTTTGCTCCCTGCCAGAGCCGGACTTTTTTAAAAAATGACCTTGGCTCCCAGGTTGACCCAGCCTTGAGTGGGTACTGGGTGCAGTCCCGGGAAGTAAAGGCAGCTGGCGATCTTGTGCCGATTGGTCTATAAAATATAGGTCTAGCCCTATATGCCCTATACGCCTAAAGGCGTGGATAAGGGTCCTTTTCTTACTTTCCTTTGTGAATAGTTTAAACATTTCAAGCTAGTTAGAAAATGTAAGTTGGTAACACTGTTTATTTCTGCACAGTACAATCTTAATACAAAGAGATTAGTATAACTAAAGTGTCTTGTACATGACTGTCTCCAGTAAGGATCATGATGCTGTTTCGGTCAACTGTGAAATGTGGGCAAACAAAAGATGTGAAGTTTTCAGAATGAAATGAATAGTGGAACTGTGATTTTTCGGTGTGTATTTACCTTGTTTTCTATTTACATTTTCAAAATAGGCTGAAGTGTTAAGTGTTATTAACTATGCCTGCGAAATGTTTAGTGCCTCAAATTATCAAATTATAGTACTTCCAGTGGATATGTGAGTGTGTTCAAATTTTACAGGTAAAGAAGAATATTGCGACTATCCTGGGTGGACAAGAAGAATTTACTTGGTGGACAAGAAGAATCCTGCGAATATCATTGGTGGACAAGAAGAATACTGCGAATATCATAGGTGGACAAGAAGAATACTGCAAATATCATAGGTGGACAAGAAGAATACTGCAAATATAGGTGGACAAGAAGAATACTGTGAATATCCAGGTGGACAAGAAGAACATACTTGGTGGACAAGAAGAATCCTGCGAATATCATTGGTGGACAAGAAGAATCCTGCGAATATCATTGGTGGACAAGAAGAATCCTGCAAATATCATTGGTGGACAAGAAGAATACTGCGAATATCATTGGTGGACAAGAAGAATACTGCGAATATCATTGGTAAACAAGAAGAATCCTGCGAATATCATTGGTGGACAAGAAGAATACTGCGAATATCATAGGTGGACAAGAAGAATACTGTGAATATCCAGGTGGACAAGAAGAACATACTTGGTGGACAAGAAGAATCCTGCGAATATCATTGGTGGACAAGAAGAATCCTGCGAATATCATTGGTGGACAAGAAGAATCCTGCGAATATCATAGGTGGACAAGAAGAATACTGCAAATATCATTAGTGGACAAGAAGAATACTGTGAATATCATTGGTGGACAAGAAGAATCCTGCGAATATCATAGGTGGACAAGAAGAATACTGCAAATATCATAGGTGGACAAGAAGAATACTGCAAATATAGGTGGACAAGAAGAATCCTGCGAATATCCAGGTGGACAAGAAGATTCCTGCGAATATCCAGGTGGACAAGAAGAACACTGTGAATATCATTGGTGGACAAGAAGAATCCTGCGAATATCATAGGTGGACAAGAAGAATACTGTGAATATCCAGGTGGACAAGAAGAACATACTTGGTGGACAAGAAGAATCCTGCGAATATCATTGGTGGACAAGAAGAATACTGCAAATATCATAGGTGGACAAGAAGAATCCTGCGAATATCATAGGTGGACAAGAAAAATCCTGCGAATATCATAGGTGGACAAGAAGAATACTGTGAATATCCAGGTGGACAAGAAGAACATACTTGGTGGACAAGAAGAATCCTGCGAATATCATTGGTGGACAAGAAGAATACTGCAAATATCATAGGTGGACAAGAAGAATCCTGCGAATATCATAGGTGGACAAGAAAAATCCTGCAAATATCATAGGTGGACAAGAAGAATCCTGCGAATATCATAGGTGGACAAGAAGAATCCTGCGAATATCATAGATGGACAAGAAGAATACTGTGAATATCCATGTGGACAAGAAGAACATACTTGGTGGACAAGAAGAATATTGATAAAATCCTGGGTATACAGGAAGAATATTGCCAATATCCTCTGTACTACGAGATAAGCATAACTAAAGAGTTTTTACTTAAATATAAGCATAATTAAAGTGTACTGTGCTAGGAGATACACACAACCAAAGTGCTATTACTAAAAGATTAACATAATCAAAGCGTCCTGTAAAAAGAGATACACATAACCAGTGTCCTGTGCTAAGAGATAAGCACAACTAATGTGTTCTGTACTAAAAGTCAAACACAACTAATGCCTTCTGTAGTAAGAGAACTAAGAGATAGGCCAACGTGATTTGTCATGTGACAAAGCAATGGAATATTTCAGTCCGGCAAGAGTTAACTGCATCTTTCTGGTTAAAACAATTGCACACTTTAAATAAATATAGATGCGGGAATAGCTGTAAATGTATGATGGCGTTAAAAAGCACATAACTTATAACGTTTTTCTTAGTTGCTACTAGGAGACAAAACCCTAGATCTAGTCATTCGTTGCTACACCAAACGACCGTCACAGCCTTTACATCGGCCTAGCTGAAAAGATATAAGAATACTGCAAATTCAGGTGAGAGTTATAATAGCAGGGAGCAGCTGAGACCCTGGCTGTATCATAAAATTTTTTATCGCGATTCTACCATTCTTTATATGAATGTTCCATGACTTCATTAACCTTCAAACTTGTCGGTTGGACAATAGTAACTACTCACTAGTTCTTACATATTAGGAGGCTCCTTATGTTCCTATTCAAGGTTAGGACTACTGATTAGTGAACCTTCTATCACCTTATCATTTTTCCTGAGAATACTCATTTCGTATCCTTGCGTAATGATCTTACACCATCGTCCTGTGCCATGAGGTATCATCAATTGTATATACCCTACATTGCGTATATTTATTATGTATGAAACATAAAAACTGAGTAAAAGGGAGGGACCTTTAGTCACGCCGTCAGTTGTATGGGCATATGGGGTTGTGTATGGGGAATTGTGTATGTATACAACCATATTAGAAAATGTTAGGGAGATTAATTATTGATGTTATTTATGTTCATGGAGAATGACAGTGAATGTAATACCTTGCTCTTTTTCCTAACTACTCCGATAACACCACAAACACTGCAACACTTCTACCCGCCACAGAATTGTCAGCATAATCCTCACCCCAAGGACAATGGATGTATTTTCTAGGTTCCCTATACCTACCCTAGACTGCCAACACTGTAGAACAAAAAGAACTGAGATCTGAATTTAACTAAACAGACTACACATTGAGGACAGCCAAGGGTTACTGAAGTTGCAAGTTATTTGGTTCCATTCGCCAAGGAATGCTGTAATCCACTGAACAAACTTAAAGCTGAGTGACGTTTGGGATTGATTTTGATTGCTTCAGTGTTTAACGATGCTTACTGAATTTTTGATTAATTGAAAGGGATATTCGGGGTGGGGGTTGTGTCAATAAATAGGTTTATTTAGTATAACCCAACTATTGGATTAAGAAAATTGGTATCTGTTTGAATTACATGTTGATTAAGTGTTACTCTGATTCATTTGAGTTCAATTATGAATGTATTGAACTTTGAGTATTCACAAGTTTAATTAGAAGAACAGATAGTTATTCAGTCATTTTTCGGGCATTCACCCTATTTGTTTAATTATCTGAGTTGTCAGATTGTACTGAATTTACTTCCTTTCTTGAAACTCGGGGACCAATAAATTTACCCTAGACAATTTTATTTCGAGCCCTGTCAAACATTAATTTAGGAGGGATTATAGGGGATCTCCAGGCGAGGAAACATTCCGTCAACAACGCTTACGACAATATTGTGAACTGCAGATTCAGAAGATGGAGAGCAGCCTGTTGCCATAGAAATGGTGGTGCCTTACGTGATTAATTGCGGGTGCAACTACTGACCTGTTGCAACTGCTGATTCCATCGACAATGAACTGCATAACTAGAGTCAGGCCTTGTGTGCTGACATTTTTGACAGCCGCTTTATGCACTAAACGCATGTGTATGCTATTGGCACTGCTGAAACTGCTGTCTGTGTCAGTTTTTTCAGAAGGGACAGGGATGGACATTCTGTGTGGTTTCCATCTTCACAGGAATCCAGCAATTTTGTGGTGACCCCATTGCTATGAAGTTGGAACTACAATGACCTGGCTCCTAACAGATAAGCATAACTAAAGCCTTATGCTAACATGAAGAGACAGAAACAGAGTAAAGAACTCACTTGTGATCTCCTCTGGTGCGTTTCTGTTCAACAGTTCCACAATACGTGACTGCATCTGTCTGCAGGTTCTGTTCAGCTCCTGATTAACACAAAACAAACAAATAAATATGGCTGGTTTGTTCATTAAAAACTGCATATTCAACTCCATATTACAGCTTTGTGGCTTAGAGGTGAGTGAACATGTTTCACAACCCTTAAAGTACTAGAATTCTATTTCCATAGAAGGCAGATTAGTGTTCAGATTGCTCAATGTTCTTTATATTTTTTCAATGTTGCTCTTTTTGGTAGCTGACACCTGAACATATTTCAGTGTCATGAAATAGCGGACCTCCTTTTATTCAAGTTAGTTAGTTGACATAAATAGAATGTTCAATTTACTTTTATCTAACTTTTTTTCTTTCATTTATTAAAATTGTTATGGCTCCTTATTCCCCCAAAACCACTTTTTTTTTTTTTAAACACCTTTTTTTTTTACCATGCTTCTCTTTATTGTTGCTCTTCCTGTCCATGTTACGATATACTTCCGATTCCATGGTGATTTGTCAGTTGTTAATCACAGCTGCTAATTAATCAAACGTTTTGTCCATTCATAAAAACTGGGTGACATGTTCGACTGTATTAGTTCGCACCGTTTCCTGTTCTTCCCTCCATTAAGCTTTCTAGAGATTGTTTTTTGTGTTTAATTAGCTGACAGGTCATCCACACTGTACATCAAATAACTGAGTCTATAAGTAAACAGATACCTTCCACAGTATATCCCTCAGCATCAGTGGCTGACCTTTGAAATGCCCTGTATTGTCAATCTCCAGAAACCAGCTACTTCAGTTATCTCCAATGGTTACTCATTTTCTCTGTGTACCTGAAGCAGCAGCAGTAGTGGACCTGCAGTATTTATTCTTTGTCCATCTGCACCTTTCAGCCCAACACAACATCTGATTTTGGCGAACCCCTAATTAGTCAAGTTGTACTCCGCATGTGGGTTTATGCGCCCTATTTGTGGAGAATTGGAGGGGGTGGATTGATGACCCACTGCCTCCCACCAAGCATGTTGCAAGTAACCTAATTACGGGTGTTTCCTTTGAAGTTGGAATGCATATGTCTGAGAGGCAAGAAACCAGCAACTTGCATACAAATAAGCCAGATCTGTAAAAAGGATGTGCACACACAACTCAAGTTCTGGCACAATACTAAAGTCCAGAAGTGGACGAACACCCAGAACTTTCCACCAAAGTTTACGATCAGTGAACATGAAGAAGAAGAAGGAAGAACTCGCCTTGTGCACAGCATGCTTGTTAGGATGCAGTAGGTCTATTCTAGCCCTGCCCCCACCCAACCAAAATAAAGGCCGCATAACCTAATCAGAATAGTACTAGGCTCAGAAGCACAGGGACAAACTGCATCAGCAGCAGCAGCAAGAGTAAAAGATATCACTACCTGTAGTAAATCCAAGTCTGAAGGACTGACGTTGCCAGGACTCAACTCCGTAAGCATCTCGCTCATCACATGAACATTGCCCTGCACCACCTCCAGCTCACGCCTCAACTTTGTGGTCTGGTCTGGGTTGAGGGCGCCACCTCCAGGTCCAACAACACCAGCTGGGGGATATCCAGCAGGAGGGTGTCCCGCGGGAGGGTGTCCTGCAGGAGGGTAACCAACAGGAGGGCCAGCGGGCTAAAAATAATTTTAAAATCTTGAAATTTAAATTATTATACAATATAAAACTGAGGTAATTAATTCCACAACTTACTGTTGGTAGACAATATAAGTAATGATACTGAAGTTTAGCCAAGGGAAAAAGGCTGTAAAATAAATGACTCAATAAGGGCATCACACATCCTAAATACAAACCCGAGTTAGGCTCTTACTGCTGTCTCACCAAAAGCAAGTGCATTAAATACTATTCTTTGGTACTTACAGTGTGGAACAACAGCATGCACTAAGAAGTAAAAGATGTAACGGTCTGGTCATCTCATTCGAATGCGGCCACAATAACTACTGACAAAGGGAGCAGCACATGAAAGGATCTGATGTGAAATAAAGAGGTTGCTTTAGCAGAATATGGATTGATGATATTAAAGAACTTCTACGTTGACAGGGAATGTTAATAGCCATTGTTCCACGTCAAACAATGGATCGCAAATTGTTCCTCCTCACATAGGTTAATGGCAAAAGTGGAAACTGACAACGATAATGAAGACAGATACATAATTAAATGACAGATACATAATTAAATGACAGATACATAATTAAATGACAGATACATAATTAAATGACAGATACATAATTAAACTATTTTTGGGCTCAAGAAACATTAATAATACACTTTGACAATTTCACTGTGCTGAAAGATACATAATCATACTGTTTTATTTTGGCTTTAAGAATATAAATAAAACATTTTTTAAAAGCTTTACTGCGCTCTTTAAATAAATAAATCTATGAAGAATAAGAGACTTCGTTACAAAAGAAGTAGAACAGCTTACTATCGTACACACCCAACAAACTTAACAATACCTTAACTCTTTTACATCAAGCAAGACTACACATTTTTGAACAGTGAGTCTTAATATAAATCTCTGGACCCATCAAAGATGTAAACAACGGAGAATGGAGAGTCAGAAGCACTAAATAAATTCATAATCTGGTTAAATCTTCACTGATCACTGGCATTACTGAAATGGCAGGGGCATTCAGAGAGAAAGGCAGAAGACAAAGAGTCAAAAACTGTACACAGGAGAGTTAAATGTCCGTAGACCACAAGACAGACCACGGAGAATGTGGAGAGATAATATCCAGGCAGATCTATAGACATTTGGAGACATCAGCTGGAAAGAAAGAACGAATCATAGAGATAAATGGAAGCAGGTGATATCTCCCAGAATGCTGAAGAAGAAGAAGAAGAATTAACTTCTGCCATACTAAGCAACTCATCAAGTGCTTACTAAAGTTGCCTGGTATACTACGCATTTTTGGGTACCTTTCTTCAGCTGTAATTTTATCATTTCTACCTTCCCTCTGTAAAAGTCTTCAAAGAATAGGCTTGATTTTTTTCTTCCAAATTATTTTTTTTTCCTCATCCATATACTTTTCTTAAGGTCTACTTTGAGAAAGAAACTAGAAGAAGAGACAACACAGAAGAAATCTGGAGTCTTGGTCAGTTTTTATAACTATTGGGGGGAGGGAGGGAGGGGGGGTCGAACCCCAAGACCACTGAGTAGACAGGCAGGCATGAAGTCATGTCATTAACAATATTAATAATTTCTTTTCAGTCACAAGGTATAAATCAGGAAACAGTTTTTTTTTTTTTTCCCTAAAGTGATTGTAGTAATCAATAAAAACAAACACAGCAAATAATTAACTTAATTCTTTTTCTTTGACCATTCAGAATTGGTTTGGTCACTCTGTCACAGACAGCAAGATTATGCAATAATAAAATGATATAACATCACAGGTAGCATCGTAATTTTTTTTTAAATATAGTTTTCACCCCAAAAAATATCTGCAAGAAAATTTGGAGATAAATCTAATCATAGCCACCATGTCTACGTAGTGTGCAGTTGCTGCCAGTACCAAAGTTGTTACACATGTGTTCCTCAAGCTGCCGGAGACATCACGTCAACCAACACTCGTCAAATCCGGAAAAATGGCTTTCCCTTGGTGAGAGGGTTAACCCATTTTTCACAAGTAATTTAGTTCATTCTGTCCCGTAGTGTTATTAATTGAATCTATTCAGACCTAACAGTTTATTTTACGCAACCACAACAATGAAAAGCGAAAAGAAATACATTCTTGGGATTGAAAGAGTTAAACATATAAACAAAGTTGAAGGTGCACACAGTTAAGCAAGTGAAGTGTGAACTGTATAACATTTGAGCAGGTGCAAAAGGTGCAACAGTTTTGCTGCGTAACATAAACCTGTTGTGTCAATGAAGTCTCCAAGCAAAAATATGACCCGACCATTGTTTTTTCAAACTCTTCATATTAGTGACACTTTAAAAAAAAAATTATTTTTAGACAAACATAATTTCGAAACATGGTAATTCAGTATACTAAAAATCAGAGGTAAAACTAACCCCTAAAAAGAGAGACAGACACACACATCAATTGTTTAATGCTTTAATTCTGCAAGACACGCCTTCACACTGCAGACAACACACTGATGTGTTACAACGCACTGCAGATGACACACTGATGTGTTACAATAAACTGCAGGTGTCACACCAATGTACTAAGACATGCTGCATATGACACACTGATGTGTTAGAACGCAGCAGGCAACACACTGACGTGATATAACACAGCAGGCAACACACTAATGTGTTATGACACACTTCAGGTGACACAGTGATGTGTGCTAGTAAATCCACATCTATAAACTGAGGTGTGGCATTAGAGGATTGTTTCACAATGCAATACTCAACATTTACCAAGGTTCAATTCTTTAGGGTTAGGGGTTGCCATTTTAGAAAACGGCCACACGCTTCTGTCTTTCAGACAGTGGTACGACAGCCGCACATTGAAAGAGACTGTGGCCTCTCAACATATTTCCATAATTAGAGGTGGATCTCCTGTGTCGGTTCAGGGGCCAGAATTGGTGGGGGGGGGGGGGGGGGGGGGGGGGGGGGGGGAACTCACTGCCTCCCTCACAAGTATTTCATAGAAGTCTACTATTTAGGGGTGTTTCCTCCGAAGTCAGGGTGCATCTTCCTAAGATGAAAGGAACCCACAGTCTGTATACAAATAAGCCAGATCTGTAAAACTGACATGCACGCAACACTCAGTTCTGGAAAAGGACCAAAGTCCAGAAGTGTATGTACAAACAACCAGTACTTTCTGCCAGAAATTACAGCCAATTAGGGCAAATAAGAAGAAGAAGCGGATATAGTGCTGATAATTTCCACTGCGGAGACAGCATTTACAACATCAAACAGACAAAAGAGTGAAGGTCCCTATTTTGACACTGATGAAACCCAAAGCCTCATAGCACAGAATCACAACCAAAAAAAAACAAACCTCCTGTTCTGGTTCATTCACCAGCTCGGCATACTTTTTCTAAACAGAAATTATCATTATACTGCTTAAACAACCAGTCAGGTATTGGACTCTCAGACAATTGTGTGACTGCTCATAAAAATGTTGTGCTTAAACTGTAAATTTGTTGTGATCAACTAAGAAAGGCAGCATGAATCAATCAATCAAGAACTAACATAACTGTACTCAGGAGATTTCCACACTTGCTCCGTCATCTTCTTCAGCAGCCAATGAAGAGTCGACTTGCTAACAGAACCAACTGATTCAAAGTCTGCCTATGTTTCCTTCGCCCTCAGTGTTGGATATCTTCCAGAAACCTCCATTCACCATTTGTTGAATTAGTCTTTCAGTGAACTGATTCTTTGTCTGTTCTATTCATTTGATTCCAGACAGCCTTCACCATATCCACTTTATCATATAGTAAAACCTCATTAATACAAACTGAATTAAGAAAAACACTCAGTTAACATGGATAAAAATTTTGATTCCACCAGTGATGTTTTTTTTCTAATAATGACCCAGTCAGTAAAAAAAAATCATTGTCTTTTACGAACTCGATTTTCGGTCCCTTGAAACTAGGTTAACAAGGTTTTACTGCACTAGTCAAGTCCTTATAAGTCATTTTATGTTAGAGGTGACTAATAAAATAAAATGTGTGCGGGTATTTTATAGTACAACTGCCTTTCAATCAGTCTCATAATTTATCAAACATGGACAAATCTCAGGTCACTGGATTTATGCTCTACTTTTACTTCAAAGAATTAACATGCATTAAGAGAGTGTTAGGAGACAGTGCAGGAAAAGATAATGTCAGTATGCGTTTTGACTTAAATTAATAAATGAATGAAGTGAGCTTGTCTCTTTAATTTAAAAAAAAAAAAAATGCTGACTTTGGGATTCAAATATGATCTTTTTCTCCTTTTTTAACTCTTTTGTGGAGATGTTTTTAAATGCTTTCAAACCAAGCTATTATTCGACCTATTTGTGGAGCAAAATATTTATTTACAATAAGGTAGCTAGTCTCCTGTTAACCCTCATTAGATGCCTCTTATGACATACACAGGTCACAGGGTCAATAGACTATGTTTTCCTTATGACCCTGGTAACACAAAAATGGAAGTATGACTGATACATGCAATAAAATCATCAGCAAAATAAAAGAGACTACAGCCACAAGACATGCTGTAAAACAGCCACAAGACATGCTGTAAAACAGCCACAAGACATGCTGTAAAACAGCCACAAGACATGCTTTAATACAGCCACAAGACATGCTGTAAAACAGCCACAAGACATGCTTTAATACAGTCACAAGACAAGTTGTAAAACAGCCACAAGACAAGCTGTAAACTTGCTATACACACCCCTCTGATTCCACCATCTAAAACATCAAGAACTGGTGCTGTTTGCCGCTCTGGGACACTCTGTTTAAAAAAAAAACATAAAGAAGCTTAATATTATAAATGTATTAAATAAACTGAATTAAGTTAATCAAGACATTTTTCGTATGACACCCCCCCCCCCCCCCACCAACCTCAATTTTATTTTTAAACACACACACACACAAAAACAATCAAAGCATGGTGACAACAAGTGAATACGAAAAGAGAAAAAAGGAAAACCACTGACTGCCTTTTTTTCTAATAGATGTATCAAGTTTTATAATTTCATTAGCTACTTCCAGGCAGTTTTGGTTAAACACTCTGTCCACGGTATCCACAGCAAGCATCTGAATAACCATATTTCCCCACAGCCTCCAAGTTTGTCTTAATTGGCTGGTTCACATTTGTAAGATTCACAGCCACATAGCAGCACACTGGTTCCACATAACACTTCAGTTCTCTTATTCTTATGTTTTATGAAGACATGTGTTGCATAAAGTATTTTTCATCTTTTGAAATTCCAAATTGGCTGGCCAAATTCTACTCTTAATCATGTTGCACATCTTCCATCAGCTGTTATAACTGTCCCAAAATATGTCCCCACTAGTATTCAATTGGCCAGTTAATAAACTGCCAATTATTGCCTTTATTACGTCACTTTTGAGGTGTAGGCAAGGGGAGGGGGGTGGGGGTCTGTCTTTGAGTCTGAGGATTTACAGCCGCATGGCTAGCGCTGTCGCCACGAATGCAGGTGAGGATTCTATTTTGCCACCAAAAGAAAAAATCTCCACCCTTACCAAGAATTCAAACCCCCAACATCCTGCTTGAGAGCCCATGCGTTTTAACCATTCAGCCAGCTGCTCCTCCAGCCAGTTAATAAGATTTACATAAAGGAAAACAAGTTTATACTTATAAAATAAAAGTGAAGATCTTCTTTCAGGCCAGTGGCGTATCAATCATATGGTGCTAGACCTATATTTTATAGACCAACCCACACTTACTGAATGACGTGCTCTATACAAGCCTCCTTTACTTCCCATGACATTTCCAGGTACCCATTTTTATCCACCAATGGTGTAAACTTTTGTAAATATAACACAAAGATGAAACAAACATCTGTATCACACTCTAACCACTTACTCTGGCTGGTGTATGAATAGGTACACTGTTGTCTAAATCAGCTGCAGGAAACTCAATTCCTTTCTGCTTCAGCTCCAAAAACACCTTTTCCACTTCCTTTAGTTCGGGAATACCTCGGAATGCATCAGCCCAGGTCTGAGGAAAAGATATGGTGGGAAGTTACTGGAGTGTTTTTAATGAAATGTTTATAACGTTATAGTAAAGGATCCATTTCATGCCAGCTTTTCATATGATGCTAGACGTGGATTTATAGACCAATCGGTATTCAATACTGTTCCTTGTTTATTGTAGAGATCATCTTAACTGCACATGGAACATGACCAAAAAAGCACTGATCTTCTCCTTAGTATGTCTCTAAGTGTTTTCAGGCTAACAATTCACACTCTGTTCTGGCTGCTGTAACAAACGGGTGGTTCCTGCATGGTTGCCCCGTCTCGCGGCACCAATTGGTACATCCCAGGGTATGCAGTCTATTCAGTGGAAACAATTGATGGATAATGTGGTCAACAATTGATTGACAAAACCTTAATAGCTTCAAGTTTGTCAGTATCACAAACTGAATGCTCATTCATTGTAACAACTTCATAACTCTCATTGTTTACAAACATAAAATGTTAAAAAAATTTCAAAATCTTTTAACCCCTATGAGTCATTAATCGATAATACCTTAAAAACTGTACTAGTTTGTCAAAATATGAAATTTAATTAACGTTATAATCCATTCATTGATAATAGTCTAACAACTTTCATAGTTTATCAATATCAGGCATTTAATGAACCCTACAAGCCATTCACTGGTATAATGTAAAACTAATGTTTCATTATTTGTTAGTATCCAATATGTAATTAATGCTTGATGCCTCTCGGGAGCTGCAGTAGCTGGCCTGAAAGTCTAGAGTTCAAATCTACTTTAGGCAGATTTAAAAAAAAACATTATTAAAAAAAAGACCTTGGTTGCCAGGTTGAGCCAGCCTAAAATGGACCGGTTGGATTTATTAAGCGCCTCTGCCAGCCTTCTAAACCAATTACCACAGAAACGACAGTCCCCAAACAACAAGTCTACATCCATCTAACCTTCTCAGGGAATAATGTTATGAAACACATACACAACCAGCTCAAAACAGCAGTCGATCAATTTTCTATGCTGTTGTACCTGTTATCAGTTTTAAATAACCCCGATGCCAACACTCTCGGTGAAACAACTAGTGCTGACATATGCCAGATCAAACAGTATTCACCAGTTTAAATACAGTTGCAACGCTGCTTATGTGAGCAGAGCAAAGTAAAAATCAAAATGAGAATACCAGCCGTAAAGACCATTCCTCTGTAACAGCACACCATCTTTTAAATTCTGGAAACACTGTAACCAAGGACAACGCATTTTTAAATCCTTTAAATACTGTCCAATGGCAGAATGCTGGGATTTCTATAAGCCTGCATGATTTGTTACCAGCGTCCTGAACTTTGTAAACAGAAAGACGTGATTCAAACATTGCGGTTGCGCTGATAAAACAGGCAGTTGCGTTTAACTGCTGTTGAATTTGTACTTCAGTTATAAAGGATTCACATATTTGCTTCATTTATTCAATTGTTACTGCAGTATGCAACTGACAAGATACAGCGAAATATGCAAGGTGATAAATTGTGCAATCTATTGTTTGTGTCTTCTTTATTCAAATTTACAACAGGGGAAACATTGCTTTGATTTTCTGTTAGTTTTAACACATGCTACAGTAAGAGGGGAAATGGAACATGTTGCGACCACTAGAAAGATCTGTGGAAGGAGGGATAGGGGAAGACAACAAGTGAAGATTTTTGACAAGTCTTGTTGCATGGCATAGAGGTGTGTCAGCACACAAACTAATACATGCTGCAGGAGAATCGCAGATTGTGGAGAGGCATGATCGCCCACGCCAATCGCCAAGGCACCTGATGATGATGATGACTGTTCTACACCACTGTTGGCACCTTTCCATCTTTCCAGACAAGTAATCCCTGTTCTACAGAGAGGCATGGAAATCACAGGCCACGGTAATGGCAAGTGTGACTAGCAAGACTGTTTTCGGTTAAGAAGAAATTTCCCAGTAAGTGCATGAGATTTTAGGACCTCTGTTGCCATCACATGTATTTGGCATGTTCCATCTCACACGCTCAGCTCTTAACATTTCGACAATATTTGTCTCCTTTGTCTCAAGACCACTTCCAGCCTCCCCAACCCCCCCCCCCCCCCCCCCCCCACTCCCCCCATATGGCATCCTACAATCAACTGTCGACAAATGAAACTACAATCAACAAAATAATGACCAAAATAAACAGAACACTATAATGATCAGTAGTTCTCTGGGATCAAGGTGTGAGTAGAGGGTTTGGATGATATTCACAAAGCAGAGACGTGCAGACTCTTAATCAGGTTTCACAAAGGTTCCCATCAGAATGAGAACCCTTCCCACAGGCTACTCAGGAAGAGGACAAAGCCAATGTCGGAATGTCAAGAGTGTCATCATCAACATCAGGTGCCTTGCCGACCAGCATGGGCGATCATGTCTCTCCATAATCCACGATCTCCTGCAGCATCGTGTGCCGACACACCTCCATGCCATGCAACAAGACTGTCAAGAATCTTCTCTCGTTGTCTTCCTCTATCCCTAGATCTTTCCAGCAGTCACAACATGTTCTATTTTTCCTCTTCTCATAACATGGCCAAAAAATGATGACTGTCTCCTTCTGATGTCTGTGATAAGTTGTCTTCGGGCTCCTGCCTCTTTCAAAACCTCTTGGTTGCTCTTTTTGGCTGTCCAAGGTATTCTAAGCATTCTTCTGTAAAACTACATCTCTGAGGCCTCAAGAAATTGTTTGGCCTACCTACCGATTGTCCAGGATTCACAGCCATATTTACAAGAGTGTATCCCTGTCAATTCTTGATCCATACATTCAAAGACCCGTATAAATAACAAACAAACAACATTTACAAACAAGCTAACAAAACCTGAATCATGCTCAGAACTTTCTCCTGGACAATTAGAGGTGGGTCATTCTTTGGTCCAATTATCTTAATAAGATCATGGAGGAAATCTTTGTTGGCCACTTGAATGTGGAAGCGGCGACCACAGTTTTTCACACAAGCTTCAATACACTGAAAATTAAAACAGCCAATTGGCATCAGTGTTATTACAGTGAAGCTCTGAACCAATCTTTAAACACGGTAAACAGTTTCAATAAACAAATAATCCAGTTATTTACTCGTTGCAAAAACCAAAAAAAAATACAGTGGCTCTGTAACTAAGAGGTCAGCTAAATCATTTTATACTGCAAGCCTCCACATTTAACAGGGGTCGATTCCCAAGTAGGCGGTTAAGATAAAAGGCCATCCTCATGGCTTTCGGGCAGTGGTAGGAGTCATAATATGGAAGAGATTGAGACCTCACTATGTAATATACACACAGTTATCAGCCAAATTCCAATGTCGAGATTAAATTTAAAATAAAGATTATAAACATGTTTTAAAATTTCTAAATTAAGCTTGCAAACTGTTGTTGAAACATATTTCTTCGTATTCTTCTTCTTCTTTCTGTCCACAGGCTGTGAAATCTGGCAGTTTCCAGAAGTGAACGAACAACCAAAATATTCTGCGAGCTTACAGCCTGTGAATGCTCAGGAGAAAAAGAAGAATCTACACTGAGGCAGATTTATATAACTGATCTAGGCTCCCAAGTCTTTGTCTGCCTTCTAACCCCTACAGAAGCATAGGCTCTCAACCAACTCACGTCAAGTCGTTCTATCTTTGGCTACTGAATGCGGCTCATCCCATCTCCTCCCCATCTTTTAAACTTCACTCTCTAGCTCCCTTCTCCATGTGTTTTTTTTTTTTTTTTTTTTTTTTTGGTTTGTCATTATTTCTGTGCCCCTGTGGGTTCCAGTGCAATGCATTCTAGTTATATTGTTCTAAGGTTTTCTCAACAAGGTGTCCTATCCAGTGCCAGTTTCTTTTCTATAATGGGCACCAGGAAAAATTTAAGGATTTAAAGTTGGCTGGAGTTATGTTGACCAACTCACCCAGAGAGTGCTAACTGCTATACAAAAATATCCGTCTAGCACTACAGGCTCAATGTGCAAATGGCGTGAAAAGGATTCTTTACTTAGAATAAACACCATTATGCAATAACATGCATCATTCCAGTAGCAACATGTAGATGTTGGTCATGGACTGCCTCGCAGTCACTGTTAATTTCTATCTTGTTTTCTTTACTCATGGAATGACTCACATCATCTATGTAGTGCCCTATCTGATGCTAATCTTGTTACATGGCAAATTTTTTGATTTGTTGTCTTCCCATAAAGTTCAATATTGGTTCTGTACTGAATCTCCTCCTGATTTCATTGTTCCTAAGTCAATCTTTTCTTGTTACACTTAGCATAGCTCTTCTAGGGTTCACACTGCAGTCATTAAAGAAGAATATTTGGGCTCTTGAGCTGAAATGCACTAGAAAGATTCTCAGAATACCACGGACCAAGAAGAAGAGAAATACTGACATCCTAGAAGATATTAACATCAATGAAGACTGTTTAATAAGCAGCATCTTGTCTAAGAAACTGAAATATTTTGGCCGTTTCAAGCGCCATGTCGCACTGGAAAAATATTAGCAAAAGGGATGATACAGGAAAGAAGGGCAGGGGCCATAACAGCACAAAGGATTTGACACTTGGGTAAGAAAGTGTACAAAGCCAAAGAGATGGCTAGAGTCCAAGTTCCCTTCTGGCAGAAAGTGATGACAGCGATGTTTTGGAAAGAACTTGCTATACAATAATGATGCAATAACTAAAACTGCTACTTCTCTATATAACTATTAACAGAATAGCAGCATTTATTCTAAAAAGACAGATCAGAAAAGCCTGTGAACCAGATCCCTATACTTCTTCTTCTTCAGCATTCCGAATCCTTGAGGTTCATTGCTGCAGATATCCCCCGCCTCCATTCATCTCTCTGGTTGGCCTTCTCTTTCCAGTTGGTGACAGCAAGTGTGGATCCCTCAACTGGTGTGGCCAAATCTTCAGCCCACACTGCTTGAGAACATTTCAAGTCAAGACTTACCTATAATCACATAAATCCAACTCTACTCGGTGGATGTAAGGAAGGGACATCATTATTTGTGACTGGCAAACAAATTACAGAACTATCACGAAATAAACATTGATTAGAACACAACAAACTGTTTTCTAAATTTTCCAAAAACTAAAACTTACTGTAAGACAGTAGATAATAGAAGTGTAATTCTTCCCAACATTTTGAGACAGCTTTTTGCGGAATGCTCGGATGGCATCTTTAGGTCTAAAAATTAGTGTTCAAATATATAAAAGACAATATAAAAACACATGATTTGACACCACATAATGTTTTTTTTAATAAAGTTTAATTAAATTGTTCTGCACTGTTTACCTAACTAATTTATGTTTGCCTTTATGCATTTATCTGTTACTCTTTACTTATCTCATTCTTCTTCATCATTTTCAGTTTGCTTCCTTGTGTCCCAATGGCAAACTATCAAATGCAAAAACTACCTAGCAAAACCCAAAACAGCCAAATTAATGGGAGCCAGTTTGCAACACCATGTAAAGGATATGCAACTAACTTTGTGTCTATGAACTATAAAAACAAATAATAAAGCTTTAATATAACCGTCCTTCCGAAATTTTTTTCCTTGTTGAGCTCTATAGGTTAGAGGTCAGTGAATGTGCTTCACAGAAACTACATTTTTTTTAAGCAAAAAGAACGATTAATTTTAAAATACGTCGTTCTCTAAGCTTCGGACATTGGCTCAAGACTCTCTGCAGAAAAGACCAGAACCTAACCACATAACTCTCACAAAGACAGTAGCAGGACATATATCAATTGCAACTACCTTCATTGTGGACACAGCACAGAAAATCTAATTTACACCACATTTGTACTGTACTTTTTTTTTATTTTTTAAAATTACTTATCAATGTGTTCCATTCTCTATTACTTCCAAAAGTATTACATTTTATTTGACATACCAGCGTGATATATTTTTGAATTACTTCCCAATATGTTACATTTTATATTACTTCTCCTCAACACACTCTCAGAGACCAACCAGGTTGTGCTTGAGTGGATAAACTTGTCAAAGAGGGAACACTAGCAGAACAGGACTTGTATCCCATATCACAAAAAGAGGTGAAGACAATGATCAAAGAGCAGTATATTAACTCCTGGAGGTGAAGAACAAATAGCAAACATCCTAAAAACATAGACTAAACAGATGGCCACACATATTTTTTATTTTTAGTTCTTCTTCGCATTTACAGGCTGTAAACTCAGGCAGAAAATTCTCGTCTGCCCATCACTTAACTTTAGTCTTGTTCCAGAACCTGAGTGTTACATGCACATCCGTTGCAAAGATCTTGCTTATTTGTATGCAGACTCTTGGTTCCTCGCCTCTCAGGCAGATGTACTATTGACTTCGAAGGATGCAACCAATTAGCAGACTCCAACGACATGCTTGTTGGGGAGGCAGTGGGTCTATTTTTGTTTTTCTGACAATGGGTTTCCGGAACCTACCCTGGGACAATTTTTTTTTTTTAATACTAAGAACAGGGCAGGCACTGCAGACAATGCACACATGCACAAAATGAACACTGCACAATTTGTCCAGTGTGCATGCCAAACTGCACTGCAAACTCCTGAGCCCAAACTGCAGAACCGCCTCCCATCCTCTACAGCAATTACCCATAAGTGCTCCGTTCTACTTCTAACTCAAGCCTGAGTCTGAAGAATCTCAGCATAGTGCACGAACTCCGTAGCTCCGGCAAGGATCCTGAAATACTTTGAGCAGAATATTTAACTCCACATTTTTGCCCGGGCAGCGCCGTTAGGCAACTCTTTTCGATTTCCAACTGCAAAGTGATTTTTTTTTACTCGCGAAAGAATACGCACGGGTGTCCGGCCTTACTACACAGAGACCAGGGTAAATTACTAGAAATCCCCATGAAAAAATCTCAAAGCAGACACCATACCTCGAGACCACTCAGCCCCCCTATATCACATTTTATATTACTTCCCAACATATCACATTTGATATTACTAACCAACACATTATATGTTATACCTACTTCAAATATTACATTTAAATTACTTCCTAACATACTACATTCTATATTTGTTCCCAACATACTCGAGATCACTCAGCCCCCTATATCACATTTTATATTTCTTCCCAACATATCACATCCCAACACATTTGATATTACTAACCAACACATCATATGTTATACCTACTTCACAACACATTACATTCAAATTACTTCCTAACATACTACATTCTATATTTCTTCCCAACATACTATATTTTATATTACATCCAAAAATAAAACAATTTACAGAACACTCCTATCTTGTCAAATGTAAACTATCCTCACCCTTCTTCTGTTTCATTGACAATGTCACAAACTTCCATGTACACGGCCCAGCTCTCTGTAGCTTGACTGCCATCAGTAGCTTGCT